TACATATATACATACATATGTGTGTCCTGCCATTTTAATCCATGTTTTCTACAGATTAAATCAACAAATTTAACCTGAATAGATGGAGAGGGGGTGGAGGGGGTGGGCTTAATTAGCGGATTGTCAACGTTGATCAAATTAGCACAGTAATTACCAAATTTCCAGTTCTGTATGAATCATATGAGAATAATTATTGGTAAGGCAACAAAAAGAAAGGTCAGGAATGATGCTTAGTGAATCAGCTGCTTAAATTTCATCTCAGGAAGTTGAAGGTAAGTTGCCTAAAATGATGAAAAGTTTGTCATTACATTTTTCTTTCAAATTTTCTTCTTTTAGTGCATTAAGTTTTGCAAGAAAATACTGAAGTTGCCAAGGATTTTACTTGGATCCACAATCAATGCCCAAGGAAGCAGCAGTCAAGAAATTGAACATCATATCCCATTGAGCAAAACTGCTGCAAAAGACCTCTTTAAGGTGTTATAAAGTAACAGAATTATGTGAGTCTTTTGCAATTTTCTTCCATTGTGTGTTTTATTATTGACAGTAATAAAAGGCAGCTATTAGGAAGGGCTAAGGATCTCTAGTGGCATAGTGCCTAAGGCATTTGACTGCTAACCAGAAGGTTGGTGGTTCAAACCCACCAGCCACTCCATGGAAGGAAGACTGGGTAATCTACTTCCATAAAGATTTACCACCTCAGAAACCCAAAGGGAATCTCTATGAGTCAAAATTGATTTGATGGCAATGAGTTTGGTTTGGTTTGGTTTGGAAAGTAAACATGTTACTTTGAGGACTAAGGTACACCTGACCCAAGCCATGGTATTTTCAATTGTTTCATATGCGTATGAAAGCTGAACAAAGAAAAATTGATGTCTTTTTCAATTACAGCATTGGAGAAGAATATTAAATATTACCATGCACTGACAGAAGAGTGAAAAAATCTATCTTGGAAGAAGTCTAACCACAGAGCCCCTTAGAAGTGAGGATGATAAGACTTCATCTCATATACTTTGGGCATGTTATTGGGAGGGACCAATCCCAGGAGAAGGACACCATACTTGGTAAAGTAGAGCATCAGCAAAAAAGAGGAAGCTCCTCAGTGAGATGGACGGACACAGTGGCTGCGACAATGGGCCCAACCACAGCAATGATTGTGAGGATGATACAGGACTGGGGAGTGTTACGTTCTGTTGTACACGGGGTCCTTATCATTCAGAGCTGGCTCCATGGCACCTAACAACAGACAGCAAAACTTTGCAATGACAGTCATCCTACTACATACTCTTGCTTTTAAACTTTTTGTTACCTTCAAAAGTATGCTAATGGAATTCTAATTTTCCAAGTTTAAGACTCCAGCCACAAACCTCAAAGGTATCTTTCATTCAAGTTTGAGATGTGTATGTTATGTGGAATTATTCTATGTAACATGAAATACTTAGTTATGCAAGCTCATTGGCTTTGCCATTAGTTTGAAAATTATGTTAGTAAAAAAAAAGTGTTAAAGAGCAAAGATGTCACTTTGAAGACTAAGGTGCACCTGACCCAAGCCATGGTATTTTCAGTGGCTTCATATGCATGTGAAAGCTGGACAATGAATAAGGAAGAGTGAAGAAGAGTTGATGTCTTTGAATTGTTGTTTTGGTGAAGAATACTGAAAATACCATGGACTGAGAGAAGAACAAACAAATCTATCCTGGAGGAAGTGCAGATAGAATGCACCTTGGAAGTGAGAATGGCCAGACTTTGTCTCACATACTTGGGTCCTCTTGGCAGAAGGAACCATTCCCTGGAGAAGGATATCATGCTTGGTAAAGTGGAGGGTCAGCAACAAAGGCGTAGACCCTCAACAAGATGGATTGACACAGTGGCTCCAATGATGGGTTTAATTAAGCATAATAAGGATTCTGAAGATGGTGCAGGACTGGGCAGTGTTTCATTCTGTTATACATGGTGTCACAATGAGTTGGAGCTGACTCGATGGCACCTAGCAAAAACATGTGACTTTGGGTTTGGCAACTCAGTGTTTCAGTTTTCATGTCTGTAAAGTAGGAACAGTGGTATTCATGCATACCTATTTCACAGGTAGGTTGTGAGAACAAAACAAAGAAGTGGATATAAAAGCACTTTTATAAAAGATAAAGCACCATACACATACATTTCTGTAATGTTAGAATCTTCATCATCATCTTCATTATCTCCTTGTCATTAGCCCTAACTGTGTAAACTTGACTTTTCTTACTTGGTGCTTTCATTGCAACTTCCTAGGCTTTAGTTCAGAACAAAGAAGGGAATAAAGAATAAAGGAACAAGCACTGGTTAGGGGGTAGGAATGACTGTCCCACATCCATCAAGCATGAGCCAAACAATGGAACACTATTTCTTAACTGCTCAACAACAATTCCCCTGAATGCATTTATGCTACACCATACTTGGGGAAACAGTTACATAACTGTTAATGCTGAGAGATGTTGTTCTGTGCGCATTTACAGATAATATTTCCATTAGTTAAAAAGAAAAAGATAGTTTAAAGTTTATCTTTTCTAGCAGAGTCATATGATTCTTTCTCAGTGTGCCCTTGACATGCAGCCAGCTTTAGTTTTTCATTTTATTTTATTATAATTTTGGGACACATTTTGAAATGACTGTTTCAAACAAAATATTTCCTCCTGTGTTTTCTTGAGAAAGAACTTTATGTATACACACACACACACACACACACACATAAATGTCTAAGCAGACATTACATGAAATCTGAAAGAAAGGAAGGAAGAAGAAAGGGATTGAGGGAGGGAGGAGGAAGGAAGGAAGAAAAGAAATCATTCTTTTGTTATTTTATTTGAAATATCAGGGAAGTATATTATCCCGGAGTGCTAGAACTAAGAGATCATTTCCTTTGGATGAACTACAAGTTTCAAAGAGTACAAATCTCAAAATCTGCACATAGAATAAGTGATTCTGGCCCCCAAATGACCTTAAATATGGGGCCAAAAGAAATCAAATGACATATTGCACTGAGCAAATTTGTTGCAAAGACCTCTGTGAAGTGTTAAGGAGCAAAGATGTCACTTTGAAGACTAAGGTGCACCTGACCCAATCCACGGTATTTTCAGTTGCCTCATTTGCGTGCAAAAGATGGACAATTAATAAGGAAGACTGAAGAAAAATTGATGCATTTGAATGATGATGATAGAAAAGAATATTAAATATACCATACATTGCCAGAAGAACAAACAAATCTGTCCTGAAAAAAGTGCAACCAGAATGCTCCTTAGAAATGAGGAAAGCAAGATATCATCTGACATTCTTTGGACATGTTATCAGGAGGGACCAGTCCCTGGAGAAGGACATCATGCTGGTAAAGTAGAGAGTCAGCAAAAAAGAGGAAGGCCTTTAGTGACACAGATTGACACAGTGGCTGCAAACAATGGGCTGAAGCATAGCCAAAATTGTGAAGACGGTGCAGGACCGGGCAGTGTTTCATTCTGTTGTGTATGAGGTTGTTGTGAGTTGGAATCAACTAGACAGCACCTGAGAACAACAGCAGTGTCCTTTATCTCCTCTGTCTGCCTGAACTTCTTTCTTTTTCTCACTTTATAACTTCAAAAAGGCCAGAGAATTGGAATTCTTAACTGTGATTTTGATGAGCAGCAAAGCAATCACCACAATAAAACACATAGATAAGGACTTTTCAGTGTGTTCTGCAAACCACAAATTCTACAAGATAGAAATAGGTGCTATGTGTAAAAAAATTGTCTAGTAAAATAAGCTTGGGGATTGCTGGGTTAAATAAAGTGAAATGGATTTCTCTACTAGAGGGTATCTCTGAACCTTGTCTATGCAAAGTGTGGCAAACTGCTGAAAAGATACTACATAGAGTCTTTCCAAATGTATTTGAAAGGAGAAACTATTTATGAGTAGAGCAATTAGTTTTAATAAAAAAAATACTTGGAATGCTTATATAGAAGATTCTAAAGATCACTTTAGCTGTAAAGTCCTCTAAGCTTGTAGGTTTACAGGGATTGTGACCTATAATGGAACATAGCACAACATGATATGAGAGTCACTCTATGACTCCAAGAAAATAGATAATTAAAATATTGCCAGAAGTGAGAGAGTTACTAATATAAGGTAAGTTTTTTCAATCATGTCTTTAACAGATTATTGTCACTATTCCAGGCTTTATAATAAACCCAATCTTTTCTAATACTGATGGAAATACATGATCACAGCCTAACTGTCCCCATTTCTTAATCAAAGTATGTTGAAAGTAAAGGCTGGGCAGAAAAGTAACCTGATCAAAAAAAGTTACCTCTACATTTTTGGTAATGTTAGACTTTACTGCTTCGAGATCATGAGAAATGGAAATGTCCCATCTGATCATTATCTCACTCATTTCGCATCCAATAAGACAAATTAGAGTAAGCCCAAGGACATGGGGAAAAGAAGTTTCTGTTGTAGATGAAGATCAAGTTTGGGCCTCTTCCTTATTTCCAAAGATTCAAACACATGTTCTTCTGATGTTTCCCAAAGCTATCACTCACTCTTACTAGAAAGATTCAAGTAACATCCAGGGCCACTCTGGGTGTCCTCCTAGCCTGGTGATTATTAACTCCACAATAAGTTATAAAATGTGAGACAGATGTCCTGATGGATCTTTAAGTAGAGGCCAAACGATTTATTACCCTATTTATATGTACCATGGCACATATCCTTTACAAAGCATTTTACATAATACATGGGAAGTGTTTCCAAGGAAACGATGTGGGAGCTAGACTCCCTATGGTTAGAGATGTAGGGTTTAGGGATGTGGCCAGAGGCTTCATTTTAATTTCTTCTGTTTGGGATGTGTGTGACAGTATGTGTGAGAGGTCCTTCAAAGAGTTTTTTCCTGGCCCAGAACATTATCTAATAGTTTTCTCTCTTGCTCTCTCTCCTTTTGCTATAAAGAAAACACTGTTTGGTAGCTTGAATTGTATATTTATTTATTTAATAAACATAGATGTGCCAAGAATTGTTCTAAAACTTTATAAATATTAATTTATTTATTCTTCATATCACATCTGTGAAGAAGATAGTATAATACACATTTTCACAGGTTAAAAACATTGGTGCACAAAGAAGTTGGGTAATTTTCCCAAGAGCACATAGCCAGTAAGGAGTGGATCCCAGCTATTAGGCTCCAGTGTCAATTAATTACTATGGTATGGTACCTTTACACTCCAAGAGCACCTGGGTTTTTCTTGGCCATGGCCTTGGACAAACCTACTTCTAAACCCATTCAGGTCTAAACTAAAGTTTTTAACATAATATGCTATCTGGAAGAGGCTACCCTAAGCTCAATCCAATAAGAAAGAAAGAGGAAAGACTAATAAGAAAGGTATAGAAAGAGAAAAGGAGGAGTTATGGAGAAATGAGCAAAGCCAACAACAGTGGAATTGAGCTCGGGTCTATCCTTGCAGTCCCAGCTTAGTAATGTCTCCTGTGTCCATAAGATGCTTAAAGTCTCTTCTTTAATCTGGGAGGTGTTAACTGGAGGGTTTTTAGAGGCACAGGGGAAGGAAATATTTCCAAGGTTCCTGCCTCTTCCAACCATAGGCATACCAGAATGAGCCCAGGGAGCTGTATCACTGGGTGCAAAACAGCATTGGGGACAGCCATTATTATCCCTCCTGTGAGTGACCATGAGACCGAGAGAGACTATGTTATCTATGTCACACAGCTAGAAAGTAGCAGAGCCAGGATTCAAAACCAGGTTTGTTTGAATATAGCATAGCTCTATTATTTTCTATTCCCTTACACTCCTCTATAACGACTTGCCAGGGGACCAAACAGTAGCAATGATGGGCATTTAGGTTATTGTAGCAATCCATCATCTGTCTGTGGTTCTATGATGACCTGGTCACTTCCACTAATCCCACCAAGAACTCTGAACTCTTACACATCTATTTTCTCATTTGCTTTCAAAGCATCACTATGAATTTAGCAGGGAAAGGTATTATTATGACCATTTTGCAGAGGACTATATAATAATATTGACAATTTTAGTGGCAAATTATCCTATTAGCCTTCAGTTTTACAACTGAGCTTTTATCCTGTATCATGGAAATCACTGGTTTAGTAACCAAAATAAACACAAGGTCAAGAGTCTTGATTTTATGAAACCATAGGGAGCTGCCTGGTTTTTGCTGGTTAAATAAGGGTAGGGAGGTCAACTCACCAGTCAGGAAGTCAGGGTCTGGCACGGGCTCTGAGATTTCCTCAAGGCACTGATTCTCCAGTGGGACAGTGGCAACCACAAGGCCATCAGGCAGTTGCTGGTCTAAACCTCGTGCAAAGTTGTTTTGCCTGGAAACAGGAGTAGATCTTCATTTTTTGAGTGTTCAGGTGAACCCAACTCATTGGTGGAAAATCCATATCTCAACCCAGAATGTACAAATTCTTTCTGAGCCACAAAGCTCCCCTCACCCTCAACCCCATTTGATAAGCATGTCTGTAATAAGACAAATGGATATGGGAGGCAGGGTGGGGCAGGGAGAGATGAGAAATGAGGGAACTTTAAAGGTCTACTTAAATGATAGGAAATATTCTTCCCTCGCCCACCCCCTTTCCAGTCCTACTCCCTGATAGCCTCTTCACTTTCATTACTAGGCTGCAGTGAAGGAGCCAGGCACCACTCTACCAAGAGATTAGTTATGATATCTCATTGCCTTTGGCAAGCAAATTTCCAGGCAAATATTAAGTAAAGTCTCCTGTCTGTAATAGTAAAAGCATCTGACTCCAAGAGCTGGTTCAGAAGTCTACTATCAGTTTGCTCATAAGGTTCCAGGCCCATGTAGCTATCAACTTCCTCACTCTATACCTTCCTTATTTGATACCTTCCTCCTTTTTTTCCTTCCTTTCTTAAAGAATGCTATTATAACCCTTAACATCATCATCACTATCCTCATTTCCTGGAAAGCATTTTCCCACGGGTTCTGAGGAACATGTATTCTAATATCCCAAGATAGAACAGGGACAAGGGTTAAATGGAAGATCTTCTGAAATATTCTAAATGGGTGGTATGGAATCTTTTGGTCTCAAGACCCCCTTTTTTAAAAAACACTAATAACTCACTGCCATCGAGTCAATTCTGATGCATAGTGACCCCCATTGGGTTTCCAAGGCTGTAAATCTTTATGGAAGCAGACTGCCTCATCTTTCTTCTGCAGAGCAGCTAATGAGTTCAAACCCTTGACCTTTTGGTTAGCAGCTAAATGTCTTAACCACTACACCACCAGAGCTCCTTAAGACCCCTTTACACCTTTAAAAATAATCAAAGCCTTCAATTTGCTTTTGTTCATATGGGCCATGTCTATCAATATTTATCACATTAGAAAATGAAATAGAAAATTTAAAAATATCTGATTTATTAAAAAATAGCAATAAACCTATTAAATGCTAACATATTTTATGACAAATAATTATATTTCCACCTAAAAAAGTGGTGAGGAGAAAAGCATTATTTCACATTTTTAAATTTTGGAGTCTCACATTTGCATTCAATTTATTGTAATTTATTATTTTAAGTATAAGACATAAATTTAGTCTATCAACATTAAGAAAAGTGGAAAGCTGGCAGATCCCTTGAAAGCATCTCTAGGACCCTCAGAGATTCTTGGACCACACTGTGAGAACCACTGTTCTAGACTGGGAGTCTAAACAGCTAACTTATTTACACTTGCCTTGCTTCAAGATATAAATCATTGTGTAAGGTTGTTTCATTGAATTGTACAGCTGACAAATGCTTAACTGGTAAATAAGTTTATTTAGTTAGTCAGCTGCTAACTAAAAGGTTGAAGGTTTGAGTCAACCCAGAGGGATCTCAGAAGAAAGGCCTGCCTTTGAAAAACCAGTCATTGAAAACCCTGTGGAATTCACTATTCTAGACTGACTCACACTCTTGTTCTCCCACTCAGAGGGAAACTGGAACTTTAGCATTTTGGGGTGGCTGTTACAAAAACTCTTGCAGTCCTTGCCTGGGCAAGGTAACAGCTCACTTAACCCTTTCCCATTCACCCAGAGGAAGCATGGTTCTTGGATTCTAGAAGAGGGGTATAGACTTGGAGAAGACCTTGAGAGAGACCATGACCTATCCTTCTAGGCAGTATCACACTTGCCTTGCTTCAAGATATAAATCATTGTGTAAGGTTGTTTCATTGAATTGTACAACTGACAAATGCTGAACTGGCAAATGTTGTGTTATATATGTTTTTTTTGCAATGAAAATACACAAACTCTTCAAGGAAGAAAATTCATCAACTGCTCTGAACAATCAGTTCTCTGCATATGAAATTCACCTGAATGTTCCTTTTAGCACTTGTCCAGCAGCCACTTCCTTGGAATGGTTGTTATACCCAAAGAACATTTCCCCAAAGAGGGTCTGGTTCATGGGGAGCTCTCTGCTTTCCCCACAGTCACCTCCATCTGGGCAGGTCTCCGTGATGAGTTGGCAAGAGCGCCCGTCCACACCAAGCTTGTAATCTTCAATGCACCTAACAGCATGGAAAGCCCAAGACAAGAAGTATTCCATCAATGAACTATATAGTCAAGTCAACCCAATGAATTGGAAAGAAATGACTCTGGGAAAGGGCTGCATGGTCAAAGATTATGAATATTCCAATTTGATTTTACCCACTTACAATTCATTTTCCTAAGCCTATAAACTAAGTCTCCTTCTATGCTGTGATCTTACCAAACTTCTCACCTCTCCTTTGCAAATAAGTGCGTTCAGAGCTTCTGAGGATGCTCTTTCTTCTGATAAATGCATGCTTTCTCAAAGAGGCTCAGGGTAAGAATTACCAGAGATTTGCTTATAAATGAGTTAGCACAATTAAATCCAAGACATTCTACAGCCTTTCTCAAGAACCATCCACATGGCCAGGCCCTACATTTGTTTGGAAGGTAATTAGGCAGCAAAAGGAATGACACTGTGCTTAAGAAATTAATAACTTTCTAATCTGATCCTGTGACAAGTCAACTAAGAAATTAGAAAGATTTATCATCTCCTGGCTGTGTTCTGTTTTACTGTATCCAAACACAAGATCAACCCATATTAACTCCCTCTCCACTCAGAGTAGCCTTCCTGAACAAAATAGAAACTAGGCCACAAAGTGTTCTGTGTGCACCATTAACTGAGAGCTACCTCCTTGGCATCCACCTCATTATACAGATACAGTTACACTAATGGAAAAGCAGTGCTAATGTTGGTAAACACAGGTTGATGACTTATAAATCATTATTTGGGCCTTATGGGTAGTTAAATTGAGAAGAAGAACATTTGTTAGGTCAAGTAAGAACCGCTTCTTTGATAAAGCTTTCATTTAAAAAGAATATTGATTCCATTTGTGTCTCTAAATCTACAAGAGTTAGAATTTATAGATGTTCACGACATGGAAACACATCATTTATTACTATCTACATTAATAGTTGCCATAAGATAAAACCTCTTCTTTAAATAGAGGAATAAGTAATTATAGTTTTAAGTAGTGAGAAACAATATTGTAATGGTAATGGCTGCAATTTACTGGCTAACACTGGGCCAGTTGTTACCTCTCTGAGCTCAGCTTCCACACCTGTAAAGGGGAAAAACTGCAAAACAAAAATAAAAAAACAGTACTTGCATCATTGGATCACTGAGAAAATAAAATGAAGTACTGAATATGAAGAACTTATATATAACCGTACATAACAAATACTCATTTAGTATTGACAATATTAGTATTAGCAGAAGTGCAAATGAGGCCAATGACAATGTAGTTTTAATTGCTGTTTTCCCCATTTACATATTTGTGTAAAATATGTAACAGGTGTGAGTAGAGTACTTGAATGATAAGTGCATGCGATTTGATTTGCCTTTATAAGAACCTCAGAACACGGACTTCTTTTGGCAGGCTATGTATAGTGCCTTGGAGAGTATTAAATAGACATATGTACCTAATTCAGATTGAAACAGGAAAGAGAGTCCAGTTAGGAGCCTACTGTATCAGTCTAGCCAATAGATAGGGCTGGAGATCCACAGAAGACTCTCCGGCACCAGACTAGTGGCTAGGACAAGTGTGTGAAGTAGATTTTTACTTGAGCTGTAAGACAGTATTTCCCAGTATCACAGTATTTGGTTGATTCAAATAAAGTTCACCTTAAGCATCTTGACAGCTTCCCCTTCCATAGTGCTCTGGCCCTCCCACTTTGTGTTCACAGCCACTTCTCTTATCCCACATCCTTGGAGGGTAGGAACCTCCTGTTCTTTCTCCTAGATCTAATACTTCACTCAGTTCTCTGCACAAAGTAGGTGTTCAAATATTTGTTTATTAAATAAATCTACAGAACTTTCACTGAATTCACGTCTGTTAATTGACTGGGTCAACCATGATGATAACATTATGGAGAGCATTAAAATTAAGAATGAGCTTCTATTTATGGAGTGGGATTTTATAAGAAATGGAATATGGAAATTGCTCAATTGCAAAGAAATAAAAGAAAATGAAATGCAATAACACTACAGCTCTACTAAATACTCATTGCATGATTATTCAGCAGGCACTGGTTTTGAACAGCAATCCACTTCATTTTATGACTGTAAACATTGATTTTTCTTGGTCAATCTATTAGATCGTGAGATCCTTGAGGGCAAGAACTATGTCACTCATCTTTGTAGCGCAGGGGCCCACATGGTTTGTGGCATAAAATAGACATTCTCCTGGAAAGCTGGGGGGTGAGGGCTAGTTCCAGAGCTCATACTAGGGAGAATAGCATGCAGAGAAGAGAAGAAAGAAAAGCAAAGAGAGGAAGGGAGGAAGAAGAAAGAAAGGAAGGAAGAATAGAAAAGTCAATTATGGTTACGGAACAGTGGGCCAGATCTTTATTTCCTTTACAAATATAGCATGAAAATGTCTCAAATATAATTCTGGTAAGTAACGTAAATTTAAATTTTGAGAGGATACTAGAATTGTTTAAAAAATCAGTGAGAGTCTGAATTCCAGTCCTATTTCACCCACTTACTGACTCCCTAGCCCTCAGAGAGTCCCTTAACTTCACTGTGCATTCATTTTCTCATCTGTAGCCTTCTGTATCTGTGGGACAGCATTCGCTGCTCTTTTCCCTCACTGAGTTATCCTGAGAGGAAATGAACTGAAGTGAATGAAAGAACTGTCAACAGGAAAGGGCTCTTAAACTGCACTAAGGAATTATTAAGCCTGAGAAGGGATGGCTGCACAAAATGTGGGGACCATGGGAGCAGAATGTAAATATGCTTCCATTTCTCTGAAGACCTTCCCTTTCTTTTGGTAATTGGTTAGTTTCACACAATCTTTTCCAAGCTTTTAGACCATGGAATCCTTTTGTCACAAAACCACTGGTTAACGTAGCTTCACAAAAGATAGTTTGAAAAATGCTGGTTTGGGCAGGCAATGATTTAGGTAGGCAAAGATTTAGGTAAACCATGTGGTTAATTTCCTCTTGTACATAAATCCCTGAGGCTCAGATTCTTCATCTATAAACTATAGATGTTTGGCTGGATTTCTCCTAAGGCTTTTCTCAATCTTCACTTTTAAAAAGTGCTCTTCTTCCTATCCTACTGACTTTATCCTCAGAAGCTGAGGGCTGGCCTACAGTAACCAAGTCATTCAGGTTTACTTTTCCAGTTTAGCACTGCAAATCCCTTGTTTTGGGAAGTGCCTTTGGGGTCACTGGCAGCTCAACTTACCCACAGAACATAAAGATGTTGTACAAGGTAGGGTCATCTGGGAAGGGTGCCATCTGCTGGAGACACAGCTGCTCACAGCCGCCATTGAAGCCGTCTGAGCAGTCCACCCCAATGTGACGGTCATAGCAGCCAGAGCTGTCCTTCATTGGGCTGAGTCCAGATGGGCACTGGCACAATCAGAAAGCATCCACACAAGTGGGTGAATCAGGAGATTGAGTTCTCTGGGAATCAGAATGTAACCACTAACATCGATTTTTATCACTCAGTCAGGAAATCATTACTATTGGCAATTAATCCATGAATTTCCCTCTACACTGCACTCCTTTTAAGAACAAGTGACCTTTTTTGACATCTTTCTTCTTTTCTCTGAGCATAGATCACATATGTTTGCATTAAAGCTGGTTTCTCCAAACAGGCTGGAAGAGAGCACTGTAGCAAGACAGAACCACAAGTGCTAGCCTCCCAGTCGATCCTCAGGCTGCCGGAAGTGTGGATGTGATCGGCTAGAATTAAAATACTTCAGCAGAGATTTCTTTGGGCCAGGAGAAGGGAGTGCTGTTATTTGGTCTTAGTATTAATAAGGCTCTTTTCAAGTCCAAAGGTCTTTGTTAACATTGGTACCAGACAGCAGTGTTGGGGGGAATGGATTGAGCCAGGGCTTCCAGCCTGAAGGAGAATGTTGACTTTGTCTGTGACCTTGGAGAAGTGTTGTATGGCTTGCATAGTGGAAGTGGCCTTACTCATTACCTGCCTTCATCAAAGCTGCCCTTAGGAAGACACACAGACAAGGGCACCTACCTGCTGCATGAGCATCTGCAGGTACTGCATTTGAGTTTGGGCTTTATCTCTGGTCCCTTGGACATTGTTAATGTGTGTCATTTAGCTTTTCTGCACCGCTATGCCTTCAATACAGTCTTTGGGAATAGCAGCAGAGAGAATCTAGGAAGAGACGTCAGATCCCAGGGAAGGCAGAGGAGCTTGTTCATCAATAATATCTAACACTTCCAAATACCAAAACCAATCTCACTGCCACAGACTCAATTCCAACTCACAGTGACTCTACAGGACAGGGTAGAACTGCTCCATAAGGTTTCCAAGGCTGTAAATCTTTATGGATGCAGACTGCTTCATCTTTCTCCCAAGGAGTGACTGGTGGGTTCTAACCACCAAATCTACCACTTACCAAGCACTTATTATGTAACAACCAATGGTCTCACTAATTTATAATAACTCTCTTGACTCCTACAAAATCCCTATGAAGTAAGTAATATGGTCACTCACAATTTATATATAAAAAACTGAGAGAGTTTAACTTCCTACAGTTAGTTAACCATGGCAGGACCACGCCTGAGACCCGGCAGTCTAACTATGGAGTCCATGACTTAGCTGCTACATCATTAGCTTACAGCACAGTCTTTTCCACAAAACCAGCTGTCATCAGTTGCTATCAAGTCACTTCTAATTCATGGCAACTCCATGTACATCAAGGCAGAACTGTACTCCATGGTGTTTTCAATGGCTGATCTTTTGAAAGTAGATCACAAAGCCTTTCTTCTGAGGAGCCTCTGGGTGGATCAAACCTCCAACCTTTTAGTTAGCAGCCAAGGACATTAACCCTGAGACTCTGCCATTTCTTGAACACTTACTAGGAGCTGGGCACTCTGCTAAGTGCTTTAGGTATTTTCTCTCACAACAACCTATTAATGTCATTTAATAGATAAGGAGCCCATTAACATAACCAATTAATCACAAGCTTCTCACTGCACTGGACTCCCTTTAAAAGTTGATGACTTTTGCCATCCTCTTCTTCTCTCTGTGCAACAGATCTAACATTTTCTTTACAGCTGAATCCTCTGAACAGTCAGGAAGGGGGAAAATAACTTGTCCTGGGTAAAGCAGCTAGAATGAGGCAGAACTGGGCATCTGTTCAGATCTGACTCCAAAGTCTGGACCTTACATGATTATGTTTTATGCACATACTATCAATTCTCTAACACACACCTTCAAAACCAAACAAAACAAAACTTTCAAAACTCATTGAAACACAGTAGTAAACACTTCCCCTCCTGTCTGCCTCTTGGCTTGCTCTTTTTCTTTGCTGCCAAGCTCCTTGGCCTAGTAGCCCAGAGCTGCCGCAGGTGTGCCTCTGAAAACCCGCCTCTTCTCCCTCCCCACTTCCCAATCAAAGATCGCAGCAGGATAGGCACTGTTTGCTGACACTAATTCTGCAATTTCCCAAACAAATGGCCCCCTGTGGCCCTGCCAGGATCCCAGCCTGGTCCATCCCCTTTCTCTCCATGAAGCCAGCTGGAGTGCTGGAAGGTGACAGCCTTTAAAGAAGTTTCCAAGGGCTGCCCCATGCCGTGCAAACACAGATGTTCCAGATGATGGTAAACAAGCAAATAAGGCAGCTGAGAATTGCACCCCACATTTTGTTAGCCCCCCATCCATCCACTTCCTTGGCCACCCAGCTGTAAGACCAGATGTGCCACCAGGAGGGAGTCGGCTTCACCACTGTGTGGCTGCCCAGGCATGGATGAGGGTATTGGAACAGGGAAGTTTGATTGGAATTAAATGGGCTGAAGTGGTTGCCATGAGTTTTTTATTCTTTTCTCTTCTATAAAGCTTGTGAGAAGCCATCAAGCAGAGACAAACCCTGTCCTCCTGTTATTCCGGCTTCAAGTACTTTCAGCCTTGAACCAATAGCTATCTCAATCATCAGCCAGGATCACCATCTTCCCAACCACTTGCTTCCCCCCACCCTAGAATGTCTCTTCAAGCATGATTTTTGATAAAGACTTCACCAAATGAAACACAAGCAGGATTTGTTCAAGAATTCCCAAACCTAGCATGCCCACAGCTCACTTAGCCTAAGGTCTAGATGGCTATTGCTATCCCAAATTGGAACACATGATAGTCACACTCTGTTAGGAACCTTGGAGAGGAGACAGATGCCGTGTAAGCAAGGCTAAAAATAATAACAGTGATCAGGAATTGAGCACCTCTATATGCAGGGCAATCTACATATATTATCTTCATTCCCAACAAAGCAGATAGGTGTTATTCTTCCGATTTTGCAGATAAGCAAACTTAGACTGAGAAAGATGTAGTAACTTGCTTAAGGTCACAGAGTTAGTAAAAGGCAGAATCAGACTTTGGATCTAGATCTGCCTGAGCCCCAAGCTTGTGTGTGTTCCTTCTACTCTGCCCTGCTGCTTCTCGGGTGTGATGAAACCTGGATTTATGGAACCCCCGCCCCCAAAGAAATAAAAGCAATGTGATAACAAGTTAACACAATTCCGTACGTCAGTTGTAAATTTGCTTGTTTGTTTTAAGCAATCCCCAGAATACATTCTGGAGTCAATAACAGATTTGTACATTCAGCCTAATAATTATATAATCATTCTCTTTCACTCTCCCCTCCCCCCACAATACACACATTATGGGCAGATATTTTTACATGACGAAACACTGCAAAGTGTCCAGAGTGATGACCTTGAATTGAAGACAAGATCCTCAATCCCAGAAAATGTTGCAATCATCCTCACTACACTGTTTTACTTAGGATGCAGTTACATTTTAGAAAGTTTTCCAGTAGAAATGGCTGACATCAAAAACAGTTTTCTGGTAGCCTTTGGTAAACCAGAATACCTGTTCTGTAAGGTGTCTGATCAATCAAGTTTCCTGTGGTGTAGATTTGTTTTTATTTTTGCCTGAATCCTCCTTCTGCTGTTGTATCCACATTTTGGGCTCCACCAAAATCTGTATCTAAATGCAAGGAAATGCCAGGCTCCAAATAATGCCCCTCTTCCTACAAGCATATGCTGCAGAACCCTGTCTTCAGGGGAGCAGTTCAGCTTCCAGGTGGAGCTTGCCTTTTCTGTGTTTGCAAGGGCTGGGAGATTTCTCCTCCTGGCTTGAGAAAAATCCCTCCATTTGTTTCTGGAGAAAAAGAACTGCTTGTTCAATAGAGAACCCCAAAGACATCTATTAACCCCTCTTTACACAGGTTAAGAAGCTCTGGTGGTGCAGTGGGTAAGGCATTTGGATGCTAACCAAAAGGTTGGTGGTTCAAACTCACCAGCTGTTCCACAGGAGAAAGATGAGGCAGTCTGCTCCCATAAAGATTTATAACCTTGGAACCCCAATAGGGTCTGTATGAGTTGGAATGGACTTGATGGCAGTTGGGTTTGGTTTATATTTTTTGTTTGTTTGTTTAAATAGGTTACATTTAGGAATCCTAAGGACTTTATAAATTGCACATTTAGGAAGAAAACTCCATTTATTATGGCGACAACTATCCTCCATCAAGAAAGTCTAATAAAGGAGCTCATACTTCAGTGACCCCTAAAATATACAAGGTTAATCATCTTTCATGAGAGATGCTCATGACTTCCTGACTTATTACTGGTCTAAAGCATAATTTGCTAATGCGATTAAAATGATTTTCTCCATTCAGCTCCCTTTCTGTGCCATCTTCTCCTCCCCTGCTTTTCCTACCCGTAGTTTTTGGTTGATTAATTACTTAGGAGCCGAATCAGATCTCACTAAACCTGAGACACACACACTTAAATTCCAGATTAGAGAGTGAATGCTCTGTTGGCAGCTGAACATGAGTGATGGACATGGACGCATATTCAGGGCCCCTGGGAATAGAGAGACAATTTCCTGCAGCTGATCTTGCCTCGCTTTACCTGAATGATTCATAAGAGCATGCAACCATAATTTCTACTTGAAATAGATTCTCTTACTAGATAGCAATCTTACTCCTTTCACAAACAATGATTTCCACAACTTTTTGATGGACTCTGACAGGCAAGCACAAGGCATGCAGGACTTTTCCCAGGAAGAAAAGTTTAATGGAGTTAAATTTATATTTCAGGCAGTGATAGCATCCTGCCCCCATTTCTCTGAAAGCAAACTCTTCTGACTGTACTACAGAGAGAAAGAGAGATGGTCATCTCTAATGGTCTCTGTGCATCTGTTCTCCAGTGAAGGTGAAATGACAGATTTCCAGGGAAAACTATTATGGATAGCATGTGGAAAGAAGGGTGTCAGGACCTTTGAGTAATGCAAAGCTCATTACAGCATAATGCTTTGGCAAGGAGGGTCATGTGTTTGATACACAAGAAGGCTGGGCAATTCCAGCCGTGGTCTTTCATGTAAGGACATAGAGACACCTCACAAAGCAAAAGGCATTCCTTTGGCCCCATTCAGGATAAGTATAAGAAAGGAGAATTAGAGATGGATTTTCCTTTTTTTTTTTTTTTATATAGCATTGGAACTATTCATTTTTAAACAAAATTTTATACTAAACCTCAATATGTAGACTTGGTAAGACTGAAGATGTCCTGATTAAAGCAGGAAGTGGGGAGACTGGAATCCTACATACCAAGCCTGTGCCAGTCCCCATTGCCTTCTCAATTAATGGCCCCCAAAGATGTCCACAGACTAATCCTAGGAACCTGTGAATGTGTTACCTTACATGGTAATCATTTTTTGAGTGTGACTAAGTTAAGGACGCTGAGATGGGAAGATCATTCTGGATTATTTGGATGGGCCCAATGAAATCACAGGAGTCCTTAAAAGAGGAAGAAGGAGGCAAAAGAGGAGACAGAGAGAAATGTGACTCTTAAATAATGGTCATAGAAATGTAATGTTGCTGGCTTTAAGGATGGAGGAAGGGAGCTAAGGGCCAATGAATGTGGACCACCTCTAGGAGCTGGAAAAGGTAAGAAAGGGATACCGCCATATTGATACCTGATTTTGAGCCCAGTGAGATACATGTTGAACTTCCAATCTACAGAACTGCAAGACAACAATTTGTGTTGTTTTAAGGAATCTATGGAAATCTTTGGAGCTCTGGTAGCATAGTGCCTAAGGCACTTGACTGCTAACCAGAAGGCTGGCGGTTCAAACCCACCAGCCACTCTTCAGAAGGAAGGTTGGGCAATCTACTTCTGTAGTGATACCACCTTGGAAACCCAACGAGGGGTTTCTATGAGTCCGGTCCGACTCGACGGCACATAACAACAGCAACATGGCAATCTTGCTAATAGTGTAATCTGGCAGGATCCTAGGGCTCTGCGGAAGTGATTTTTGAGAACCAGTGTTCTTATGCTTTTGAGTAGAGACCACTACTCTCACCTGGGTATATTAAGGACAATGGGGAGAACTAGGACCTGGTCACAAGTGATAAGTGACAGACCTCAGCTCTCGTAGGCTTTCCAAAGGTTCAGCAAGTCCCTGCTGTTTGACAATGGTTTGGTTTGGAACATTGAGTGATTGTGGTTTGTACAGGCCTGTGCCTTTCACGGGTATTTGTTTCCTGTCCTCAGAGACCATATAAACAACAGAGCAATTAACTGGGTAGCAATTAACCCTGTGGGAGTCCATGCATAACTGAGAAACGTGCCCAGCCTTCTTTGAAAGAATGAAGGTTGAGCAGCCAATGTGGGCCAAACACAAACCCCAACTGGTGGTTTCAGCCAGTATAGGAGTATATGTCCTCTCCTGTCCCACTTCTCTTCACCTTTCCTAGGTACACTAAGGACCAGTGTGTTCTAAATTTCTCATTTTTTTTCTCCTTTCATAAAAAATATACCTTTCCAGGGGAAGTCTTCAGTTTCGCTACCAGAGAACTGAATGGCAGGAATTGCATGGAGGAAGGAAAGCAGCCCAGTTCTCCCCAAACTGTACTTGGTTCTGTTGATGTTTTGTCCTTGGTCTCCATCTGGATGACAAGGGATTGCTTTGCTAATACACCAAGGCTCTGTAATAGTACTGATGCCCAATGTCAGGTTTCTCAGGCTCAAATTGAGGTCACAGGATCATGATGTGATGTGTCAGTTCTCAACTCATCAGTACCTCTGCTACAGGAGCCATGTGTTCCTAACCAATGAATAAACAGTAAATTGCACCTGCCAATGAGCCTGTCCCCCTACTTCTTCAAAGAGCAATGTGGACCAGTAACTTCAAAGTATTATGCTAATATTAAGCCCTGGTATAATTGAGTCACTTTCTGCAGTGGCTCCAATTCTAAAATGCAGCAACCTTAATGCAAATGCATATTCATGGGAACTATTTCTGCTAGTTCTGTCTCACAGATCACAGTGTTAAAAGTACAAAAATATATCAGCATGGCTATATGCCAAGTAAAAGGGGCTAGGATCACCAACAGAAGGTATTTGACAAATAACCCTCATGGGCTCAGGAAAGGGGCAGAGAAGTGGGAAGAGGTGGAGCATACATCCACGTGCATGTGTGTAAATGTATGTGCACACTCAAACTCACATGAGGATATTTGCTCATGTGTACACACAGTGTCTCAGTAGTCAGAATGACCCGAGAGAATAATGAAAGGTTGAAATCTGGATGAGGAAAAGCAGGCTGAATAGTAACAAAAATGTGTCTCAGCTGGCAGCTCCATTAGACAGTGAAATTGTCTCCTGAGGGACCCAGTTGGGAAGCTCATTGCTTAAGACATCTGAAAGTGGACTAGCCAAATGGAAGGGAGCCCTCTGGGGCATCAATTTACCCCCTGGTCACCTTTGGAAGACACAGCCTAAAGAGCACTTTTCTTTATATTTCCCCGTGGTGACCCTCTCCTTTTGATGGATCTGCCAAATTCTCCACTTACCTGCCCCTCAGCTCTCTGTTCCTTCTTTTTTCTCCATTTTCTCTCTCTTTTCAGAGGATTCATGCTCCTGTCAACTATAGCCTAGTTTGTGAAGGTTTGGGGTGACTTAAGGCCAGGAGACTCCCACCTGGACCCCATCTACACATCCATCTTTGATGGAGAACAGCTCTTTGAACAGAATAGGTACTCAGTGATGGCAGAGAGAGAAGGCCATCATGGGCTCAGCATCCTTAAAGCTTGCCCTCTTCTGTGCCCCTCACAGGAGCATTGCCTTCAGATCAGGAAGCAAGATGGGACACCATATTCTCTCCAGAACTGGAAGCTCCTGGCCCTGCTCTCCAAACACTGCAGAACTGTGTGTCTCAGTGGTTCATCTCTCCCTCTCCTTTCCATTCCCTTCATGTTGGCTTCTGGGCCTTCCTTCACCCATTCCCTCTCCTCTCTGAAAAACTCACTGCCATCGAGTCGAATCTGACTATTGCTCAACCTTCCTTCTGTGGCTGGTGGGTTTGAAACACCAGACTTCTGGTAAGCAGTCAAATGCCTTAGGCACTATGCCACCAGGGTTCCTTTCTCTGCATCATTCTGTCCTTTAAAGAACTGAGACCTGGAAACAGACAATAGTGTAGATGGGCATGAAAACAGCCAATAAAAAGGGGCCAGCAGCTGACGGCTTCATTTTCACCTGTTTCCCTTTACCTTTATGGCTCAATACAATCTTCATATTCATGACATGGGATGTTTTAGTCCACTCTAGGCCAAACAGTCTTTCTAGTTCATAGTATCCTATATTTTAAAGGAGGCCAAGCCCATAAACTGATAATAAGTTACAAACCCATCTTTGGTAAAGTAGTTCATTGCCATGACCTCAATGGGGACATTTTTCTTCTTAAACATTCTTTGTGTAACTTACATCTTTCATCACTCTAGCCCTAACTAGTTTTCTCCTAAAATATTCTCACTTAGAGTCAACAGCACACTAATAAGTAGTTAATTCTCAAATTATTTTGGGAACATCTCACCAACTAGATTGTAAGACTGGAGAGAATCATGTCTTACAATTCATAAAATGTTCCTTAGAGAGTTACAGTACACATAGTAGGTGCTGCATAAGTACTTATTGATTAACTGGATGATCATTATCTCCTCATCTTCTCCATCAAGAGAAGATTCCTAATTTAGACTGGACAACAGTGATAACAGGATCACCATTGAACCTCTCTTTTATTCACAGTACATTTTCATCTACACATATTCATTGTGGCTTATCATGTGTCTTCCCTCCCCATTCCCAAAACAGAAACTATCAGCTCAGCAGGGTAGACGCACCACGCAACCAGTGGAGTCCAGCTTGCGATCTGAGATACAGCGGAAATTCTTACTGCAGCCCCCGTTATCCCTGCTACAGTCACGCACTGGCCCAAATGAATCCAAGAGAACTTCTAGGCTGTCGAAGGAGGACGAGGTCATCAGCTCCTCTCTGAAGGGAAAAAGAGTGGGAGGCAGGAAAGAGTCAAGAGGCCTCCAGGTGCAACAAGTAGTATTACATTTCTGTACTGTCCCTAATAAGGGCCTTAGGAGCTCAATCAAAGAGCTCTGGTAGTGCAGTGGTTAAACACTCAGAAAGTCAATGGTTCAAACCAACCAGCTGCTCTGCAGGAGAAAGCTGTGGCAATCTGCTTCTGTAAAGATTATAGCCTTGGAAACCCTATGGGGCAGTTCTTCTCTGTCCAATAGAATAGCTTTGAGTCAGAATTGACTTAATAGCAATAGGTTTCAACAGGCAGCACAATGGTTAAGCACTAGGCGGGTAACCAAAAACTGATCATGTCTTGTTCTTTCTTATAAAACTTAAAGATAATCTGAGCTTTCAATGAACAAATTATGGGCATCCTCTATATCTGAGAAATGAGCCCATGCTATAATGCCTGGTCAAAGAAGGAGGTGTGAACTTGGACAAGGAAATGAAAATTCCATTGCCTGTCAGTCCTTAGGGTATGTAGAAAATGTTTACAAAGTCTAATTTTATATCTTCTTCCAGTGTATGAGCCTTGGGATGTGCAATATTGACCCAGAAAAAAAGTAGGTTTTGGCACAGGGTATGGAGAATTTGAAGGCTGCCTGCCAATTTCTCCTTTAGGTTTGAGGTGACTCCATTCCCAGAAGCCAGCACCTTCTAGTAGTATCTCACTTAGCCTCCCAAGTGAAGTGCCTGAGGCCAGACTCACCTGACCTCCACAGCATCCTCCATCACTGTCATGTCCGTCTTGCACTTTGCCGATGGGTTGATGGCCAGTTCAGCTGGTGGAATCACAAAGCTCTTGCTGAGGGGCAGCCACATGCCCTCCCCCAGAGTGTAGGTGAACCTGCAGGGATATCCAACACCAGGGGGTTATGATTAGGAATAACCCCCTAAAGGAGAATCTGGCAGTATACCTTCAGTGCTTCCTTCTCACCCTTACCCATCCTCTTTGGAAAGGAGAGTTTATTGTCATTTTATGTATGATATGACTGAGTCCAAGGGAAGCAGAGAGGCCTGCTCTTGCTCATATGGCCAGTCAATTGGAGAACTGATAATAACATTCACTTTGCCAGCTGTTAGAAGTTTTCATCAAGTCTTATGAAGAGAGTTCTTCAGATTTGAAGCCAGGCTTTCCCAGCCTTAAGTCAGATACGATTGGAAGCATTTTAATCAAAAAGAGATGGTGGTCTCCCACCATCTCCATCCCATGGGCTGCAAACCTTCAGTTGTAGCTTTGGTTTTTCTGGTAGTATGCCTGGAAGAACACCACCAAGGTAAAGAATGGAAAAAGCTCCACTCTTCTGGCTTCTGTATTATGGGAACAGAAATGACTGAAGCCAGGAGACTCTAGGGAGAGGAAAGAAGAAGAAGGAACCAAATAGCCCCAGACTTGTTCTTTGCACTCCTACCCACACCCTTAGCTAACACAGCTAACCCCTGGGATACAGGAAAGTTTTTTTATTTTTTTTTTTTTTTTTAAATTCTTATAACAAGAGCCAAAAGGAATAAAAGAATCAATCAGCATTTCAAGGGAGAGCTTAAGGAAACTATGAAAGATTATTTGTTTATTTATTCATTCATTCCATTTCAAAGGCATTCAAATGCTCTATGTTCACAGTCAAAAATAGTCTAGGGATAAAAGCCAGTGTGGGTGGGATATCACGAGGCTGTGGCAGCCTGGCGTCCCCTTCCAACTTAATGTGGAGGGAGGAACAATGCAAGGATGCGTACAATTAAACAGAACCCAGCACTGGCATGATTAGCATGCCGGTCACAGAGCAGTACTTCAGAATCTGGCTCCTTTCTGTTTCCTAACCCTCTCCTCACTCCTCCCTGCTTACTTGAGATGCTAGGAAACCAGATTTTTGACTTGAGGTCTCCTATGAAAAAACAGTACTCTTCAGAATGCTGCCCAGAGAACTGACCCATTCTGGGGCTCATGGGTTACAAGGTAGCCAAGCTACTCAATTTCACCCACCCTCTGAAAGACAGCCCTGGTGCAAAAGCAACTGAAAGAGGAGAAAGCAAATTCCTGGTTAGCTGCAAGGGATCCCCAGGGAAGAAGAAAAGCTATTGGTAAGTGTTATGTGGTCAGAGTTTGAAGGATTTCTGCCCCCCTCACACCCTTACTCTTGGCCCCCTGCTTCTCTGACCTGTCAGATGAACCTCTGCATTGAGCAGCAATGAAACATCAGAAATCTTGCTCTCAGAGAGGCATCCCACTCCTCCCACTCAGAAGGATATAAGGCAGCAGGTAAAGTTAATTCTGTGCAGGGAGGGGCTGTACTAGGGCATTCCCAGTACTTGGGGGATAGAAGAAAAGACCCACTACCTCATTCCTCTGTGCAGTAGCTAGCAAACTACTTCACACACACACACACACCCCCTTTCCCTGGCAAGATCAAGGAGCCAATTCAGGGCTAGTGGTTGGTCAATCTACTTCTGTAGTGATACTGCCTCAGAAACCCAAGGAGGGGTCACTATGAGTAGGGTCCGATTCGATGGCACACAACAACAACAACAACAACAACGAATGTCCCAAGATGCCTAGAATCTGGGATGTTAGGAAGAATGTGAATTGAAGGAAAAAAACCTCCAAGAATTTGTATATCATAATGGAAATTCTTGAGATAGCAACATTACAATAGGCTGAGCAAGTGGGATGCACCACTAGTATTAAAATAAATTGTTTCAGAAAGAACATACAAAAATGTGAAGGGTATCAGGAAGGAAGCACTTTATATGGCCTTTAAAATTAAAATTTTTGCATTGAAACTGAGCAACATATTTGTGACCCATAGTTTATAAATTAGGAAATGAGTTTTTGTAAATAGGTGATGGTTCTAGCACATTCCTTGTAGTTACTTTTTTTCTTTTGGAAGAAGGGAGTTCATGCTCCAATATCTCATAAATTTCCTCTTCTCCATGCAGTAAGGGAAAATCAAACCACATCTTTCCCCAACTTAACCTATCTAATGGCACTCCATGACTATGGAATAAAGTTCAAGGTCTCCAAAGATATCATTCCCTCCCATTTCTTCAGCTTCTTCTTTCACAAAACCTTGCTTCATACCTTGTGCTCCTACAATAAGAACTGAACTGTAGTTGCAGGTTACCCTGCTGTTACTTCTTTGCCTTCTTTATGAACTTTCCTTTCTTCTTATCTTTGCCCAATTCCTACTCATTAAAACTTAGTTAAGGTCTCACCTCTTCCAGAAAGCCCTCCAGGACTTTGCCATCACCCCTCCCTTTCTGCTCTGAGATGCTGAGTTGTACATGTCTTTCCGTGTGTCTATCACCCCTAATAAGAATGTGTTTTCTCAGATACCCACTGACATTGAGTCAATTCTGACTTATAGTGACCCCCATTGGGTTTCCAAGGTGGTAAGTCTTTATGGAAGTAGATTGCTTCATCGTCCTTCCATGAAGAAACTGGTGGGTTTGAACTGTCAACCTTCTGTTTAATAATCAAATGCTTTAAGCACTGTGCCACCACAGCTCCTGCCCTCTTAGATGGAATAATTCTTTGTCATTTTTGTATCCCCATTGCCTAACACAGTTTCTGGCCCAAAGAGGTTGCTCCACAAATATTTATTGACCAGTCAATAAAGGGACTTTGTTGCACTCTTTATGATGCACAGATGTTTGGGAGACACAATCTCAGTTTTCAAACTTAAAGGTAAAAGTCTTGGTAAAGATTATCTTCTGTTGAGAGCAGGCTATGGGTTAACCTCGAGGTTTGATGGATTTAATGCTCAACATAAATCTGAGTTTGATATCGTGAGGAACATCCTATGTGTACAGCTTCTGAGACAATACACTGTACCAAGTTAACAATAAAAACAGTGTTATCTCCTTTAGTCTCTGGTGGAGCCAAGTAGAAAATCTGCCGGAAAAACAAAGCAAGATGTGCATGAAACTAACCTTTATTGAGGACACTCAACATAGCAGCTGATTTGAAGATCTGCTGTATTTATCTTCACAGATTGGTAATTTGATCCCATATTAGTCAATTAATATTTTAAGAAGTTTAGGAACATCTTCCCTGCCCCTAAGGCCACCTCTTTCTGAGTGGAAGAGATGGAGCTGGTCTGATTTTCAGATATGGATCACATCAGCTTTCTAGTCCATGCTGGTTCATGGCTATGAAATTCTAAAGTTTTATTTTAGCTGCAAAACTTAGTAACTCCAAAAACCAAATATAGAGCAAACTGTCAGAGCAAAGCTGTGTCCTGAAATCTCATCTGTCCCTCATTCATGCAGATTTGGCAGAAAAGACTTCAGAAAACCACCAAAGAGAAGCTGAGGGAGCATCTGGAATGCTTTACCAAGTTGGGCCTTCTTCTCTTGTGACAGCTGGTGGTGACCACTCTGGTGGATGGTCTCAGCTGTGTGCTGGGTCCTGCACATGGCCCTATTGAACTAGAGCTTGAAATTTCTGTTCAGAGGAAAACAGTCACCAGAGAAAGCTGGATGGAATAAGCCTGTGCTCTCACTGTGACTTGGCATGAAATAATATTGTGCAAACTGGTAAACAGCTCTTGGTCTGACATTGCCACTCTTTCCCATAATAGGCCACTCCAGCATGAGCTACTGTTGCCAGGGATGCAGGTACACACCTGGGAGAAAGGTTGCTGAGAGATAAATTTGGTCTGCACTGACTCCTGCCATCAGAAGGTCTAGTGGAATGACAAGATCCTAGCCACAAGGGTATGACACATTCACCTCTAGGATGGGATTGGTGAGAAGACTTAGTCTTCACACTCAAGGTCCCCTTGGACCATTTCATTCTAGGTTGGATACTTCTCATGTTCTTTGGGATTGCAGATTATCAAGGTTAGATTTGGTGTCAAGGTCTTTTCCTAGTCTGGTTTCAAGTCCTAAAGTAATATCTAAAATGACCATCCACAGATATTTACTAAAGGCTTATTGTTTTCAAAATTGTATGTTATTGTTAGCTGCCATCAAGTCAGCCCCTGACTCATGATGACCCATGCACTATGGTATTGGGCCATTATTCTCCATATGGCTTTCATTGGCTAATTTTTAGAAGTAAATCACCACAACTTGTTTCCTAGTCTTTCTTGGTCTGGGTATTCCACTGAAACTGGTTCAGCGTCACAGCAACATGCAAACCTCCAATGACAGGTGAGTGGAGGCTGCACTGGAGGTGTACTGGCTGGGAATGGAATCTGGGTCTCCCTCGTGGAAGGAGATAATTCTTACCTTCTCAAGTAGACAAACATTTCATTTCAGAAACAACTAGACAAATTAAAAACAAATGTGAACATAATAATTGATACTGCATGGTTTAAAATCAGGAAAGGAGTATCCTTCACCATACTTATTCAATCTGTAATGCTGAACAAATAATCCGAGAAGCTGGACTATATGAAGAAGAACATGGAATCAGGAATGGAGGAAGACTCATTAACAACCTGCGATATGCAGATGTCACAACTTTGCTTGCTGAAAGTGAGGATGATTTGAAGCACTTACTGATGAAGATTAAAGACTACAGTCTGCAGTTTGGATTACATCTCAACATAAAGAAAATGAAAATCCTCACAACGGGCCAATGAGCAGCATCATGATAAATGGAGAAAAGATTGAAGTTGTCAAAGTCTTCATATTACTTGATTCCACAATCAACAACAATGGAAGCAGCAGACAGACAACGTATTGGAAAATCTGCTGCAAAAGACCTCTTTAAAGTGCTGAAGAGCAAAGATGTCTCTTTGAAGAATAAGGTGCACCTAACTCATGCCATGGTATTTTCAATTGCCTCATAAGCATGTGAGAGCTGGACAATAAATGAGGAAGACCGAAGAAGAGTTGATGCTTTTGAGTTGTGGTGCTGGCAAAGAATACTGAATACCATGGACTGACAAAAGAACTAACAGATCTGTCCTGGAAGACGTGCAGCCAGAGTGCTCCTTGGAAGCAAGAATGGCCAGCCTTTGTGTCACTCACTGTGGTCATGTTGTCAGAAGGGACCATTCCCTGGAGAAGAATCTCATGCTTGGTAAAGTGGAGGGTCAGTGAAAAAGGGGAAGACCCTCAACGAGATGGACTGACACATCAGCTGCCATGATGGGCAAGGATCGTGAGGCCGGCATAGAACCAGGCAATGTTTCGTTCTTTGTACACAGAGCTGCTATGAGTCAGAGCTGACTCAATAGCACCTAACAATGACAACATAGCCAGAATATTACAGAAATCTGGAGAGGGACAAGTTATTGTAGGTTAGATTAGAGAAGCATTTGAGCAGTACTTCTCAATCCTGGCTGCAGATTAGAATCATCATGCTGATTTTCAAAACATGCATACCTTGGCCCCACCTCCTGGAATGTTTGAATTGGGTACAACTGTTGGCCATTTTTAAGAGCACACTGAGGATTCTCACATAGACCCAGAGTTGGAGACTACTTTTTCAATGAGACTGTAAATTCCTTAGGAGCAAGAACTATCTTGGTCCTATCTGTTTTGTCATATCTACAGCACTGGAAGCATTGCCTTTTGGGAGTAGGTGTTCAACAAATGTTGGGTTTAGCTAAGCGATGGCCTTGACCACAAAAACGGCCAGTGCTTATATTGGGAGGAGAATATACATTCTTACTAGAAGAAAGAGGATAGGCAGGCAAATGTGGAGAAGGAATATTAAAGTTTTGGGGGTGGTAGTAATTAAGAAGACAGATTTCATAGAAGAACAGCTTATTAAAAGGGGGTTGTAGACTGACATTCAATTGTGGAAACATTTAAATGTCAGAATTGAAACTTTATTTCATAGTCTAGGAAAACAGTCAGTGGTTTGGATTTCACCCGGGTATTAATCTTAAAGAAACAGAATGGAAGTAAATAGCCATTAGTTTCTTTAAGAAATTATTCACTGACTAGGTCATAGAATTTTCCAGAGCGGCCATTGGGAGTTGGCATCCGCTGATTCCAGAGTGGCTTCAATTAAAGTTCCCAGTCCCTAAAATAAGTAGATCATGTCCCATTGTTTTAATCTTAGACACAGTTATTGTCATGTTAGGGACCAAATGATTAGTCATCTACTGATAAATACACTGGTTACTAAAACAGTTTATCTCGTGGACAAAATCACCTAGCTACCCCCTCTTTAAAGCACTTGACTGCTAACCAGAAGGCTGACGGTTCAAACCCACCAGCCACACCTTGGAAGGAAGGTTGGGCAATCCTACTTCCGTAGTGACACTGCCTCGGAAACCCAAGGAGGGGTCACTATGAGTCGGGTCCGACTCGACAGCACATAACAACAACAACAACAACAACCCCCCCTCTTTAGTTCTTGGGTATCAAATCCATTGGACCTCAAAAGAACAAATGATGCTTGTGGGGCTGGCAAAAGTTCTTGTATAGGTTTTGTTCTAATAGCAATTTCATTAAGGCCCTGTTTGCCAAAGTGTTAGTTTCTAACTTTTAAGGGGGAGGGCACTTTCCCATGTTAATTGGGCAAATTACACCAAACTCCCCATCTGCCTTATCTTTATCACCCTCCAAAGATCCTGGCCAACCAGTGGCAGGAAAAAGCAAGAAAAAGTCAGCCAAATGATAAATCATTGTTGGAAAGTTTAAATGCCCAAGTTGCAGTCCAAGGGATACAGCTGACATCCTCTTGCAGCACAAATCCTCCAAATCAGCCTGCAGCCAATGCCATTAACGTGCCTCAGCCTGCCCTGGGGAAGACACTCAAGAAAGAAGTCCTCTGAGTAAGGGATTCTGTAAGTCTGCACTCTAGCTAGGAGCATGCTTTAGAAGAACACTGCTGTGTCCAAGGCAATTCCATCCTCAGCGCCAAGAGAGGAGAAGGAGAAGCCTAGAACGGCAAATGTGTTCTGGGAGGCAAACATGGCAGCAAAAATTAACACCTAGGCAGGAATGACTAACACCGGGGGTCTGGGGAAGGTGATTTGGAAAAACAGGATAATGAGTAAGTAAGACCCAGCAAACTAAGAGCAGTGAAGAGAAAGTAAACCTTACATTTGCCCCAAATTGCTATCTTGCTCACCATTCCTCCCAATGATGTCACACAGCAGGGTAATTCTTTTTTGACACCAGATATTTATGAGGATATTTACTTTCTCTCCTTGAGAGCTCAGCCACGGAGGAAGAGGTATTCATGTCCATGCTGTTAGGCTGATCACAGTCTCTGCACTTAGCAGATAGTTGGCCACTCTATGGTAAGTGAAGAATTGATTGACAGGATGAATGGATGATAACATCTGAATTTGGAAATAAACTCTGGCTAAAGGCCTGGTGTGAATTAAACTTTATGAAAATCCAATCATTCATGGCAGGCACCCAAATTCTTTCCCTGCTTGTGGGCCTTTCTAATATGTGCTATTCCCAGGTATGTAGGTAGATACTTGGGAGGGACTGGAAGCATCCAATTTTATCAGGAGGATGGTACACAAAAGAAAATAATAATGTGGTAGAATTGAAGAAAGGGGGAGGCAGGGGTGGGAGATATTCATTTTGAACAATTAAAATTTTATGAGAAAGGTGCAAATTAGATGCAAAATGGTGAGGCAGACACTGATATTAATTGTCTGTTCTGTGCCAGTTTCGGCACCAGGGGCTTTCTCTGCATTATCTCATACATAGATTCCTCATAAGGATCCAGCCAGGCAAGTAATGTAGTCCTATCTAGCAAATGCAGAAACTGGAGGCTCCTAGAAGTTAAGTAAATGGCTGAGGCTCACAGACCTAGCCAGCTAGAAGCCAGGAACCAAACAGAATGTGTCCAACTTCAAAGTTCTCCATGCTGCCTCCCAGGCATGATTTGGGGGCAAGTGCTTTTGTTATGAGGATGGCACAAAGACAAGTGTTTCTAATTTTATACTTTACCACCAGGAAAGGAAGTTCAGTGGAAAGTGGGACATGGGGCTTGCAGACACACAGGACTAAGTCCCTAGACAACGACTTACCTGAATATCTTATCAGAAGGCTGCTCTCCCAAAACCAGGTCAAAGCCTCGCTGAAATATTGTGTAAGGCCAAGGCCTAAAAAGAGAAACATCATTCAATTAAATTCAACTCAACAAATATTCCCTAAATATCCACTGTGTGCCCATTTCCACGCTAAGTTCTAGAACCCCAAAGACAAAGAGGACCTAATCCCTGCCATCAAGAAGCCCACTATCTTGAGCTTATATGAAACCTTAAATCCTGGAACCTGATCTAGAACAAGCTCAACCAAATAATCACAGAACCACGTAAGGGGAAAAAAAAAATGAAAAAACCCACAACTCATGGCAACCCATGTGTTGCAGAATAGAATTGAACTCTATAGGGTATTTGAGGCTGTGAAGTTGGCTTTCTTCTGAGCACTCCAACTATACCTCTAGGAAAGTGAAACTTCATAGGCATGGTAATTGGGACTTCATGGAGTAAAATTATGCCAAGGTGGACATCAGATATGCTTAATTCAAGTTCCTTCAATGTGAATTTAACTGACATCCATCTTTGCCCATTTAAGAAAAAGAAGCAGCATGATTTCTTGGGAAAGATGAAAGCTTCAGAATCAGATAGCTCTGGGTTCAAATCCTATTTTGTCATTTAACCAATTGTCTGCCTTTGGGTAGATTATTTGCCTTTTCTGAGGCTAATTTACTCATTTGTAAAATAACGTTGGTAATAGGCTTGTTCACAGACCATCGTGTAGATTAAGCAAACCTCTCAGGCCAAGACAGTAACTCATACAGGGTCCCCAACATCCCCCCTTTCCCTGCTCAAAATGACGTGGGGACTCTGGGTCATTCTTAGGTATAAACATCTTAATGCCAATCTTTCAAACAGGAACAACTAAAATGATATTTTAAAATAATGTCTAACTACAAGTCTTCCTAGAGACTAGGTGTTGCCACACGTACTGGAACACAGTGTGTGTATCTTTTCACTTACCCAGATGTTCACCCCTAAAATGATTTATTCATTCAAACAAATCTTAGTAATAAACTCCAGACCTTCTGTTGGGTGCTGAGATATTCTGGCACATCGGGTGGACTGAGCACTTGCTCCCATGGGACATACAGTCTCATAATGAACTCAATTATTCAGGATTTTATTGCACACATTTCTCTGGTTTTCAAGGACAGTTAGAGTAAATCATAATTATTATTGGGGTTATATTTAATACTAAGATTAAACCCAGAGGTTGTCCAATGTGGTGGTATCATCCAATAGAGAGGATTTGGGGTAATTTATGGGATTGTTTTTGAATGACCCAAGGATTGAGAAGCATTACTGGCATTTAAAAAGCAGAGCTAGAGAGGTGAGAATAGTGAGGGGATAGGGCCAGTCAGTTTTGCATAACAAAATTTCCTCACGTCCTGCAACCTTTTGAACATCCTGCCAGACATTTATGTAAGTAAAAACTGGCTTATACTTATCTGTGCTGAGACTATTTTTAATAGTAAAATTTACTATTTACATTTAAGAAGAACTAATTAATATAGTTATATGGTTTTAATAGATTATTAATTTTCTTGTTGTTGTTATGTGCTGTTGAGTCGTCTCTGACTCACAGCGACCCCTCCTTCGGTTTCCGAGGCAGTATCACTACAGAAGTAGATAACCCAATCTTCCTTCCAAGGAATGACTGGTGGGTTTAAACGGCCATTCTTCTGGTTAGCAGTCAAGTGCCTTAGGCACTACACCACCAGAGCTCCCATGATGAATTTTAGAGGACTACAACTACTGTGTAAATGGAGGAAACACTATACATTGTTACTTAGAAATTTTACCAGGATATTTGCATAATTTTGAAAAATCATATCATTGTCTGCAATGATGTTTTTTGCCTTTGAATCCCCTATACAGCACACCTGCATCAATCTATATTGCTGTATTATACTCAAGTATTATACTGAACTACACATTACACATTGCATTTTGGTGACTCTACATTAGGTGCAAATGTGCGTCATCTTTATTATTTCTTCTGTTGTAACACTATCAAAGAATTTACATACAAAAATAGATATTAGTATATTATTATAAATTTTATGTTTATTGTTTCTCATTTAATGACTATTCCCAAACCAAACTCATTGCCATCGAGTGGGATCTGAGTCATAGCGACCTCTCCTTGGGTTTCCAAGGCAGTATCACTACGGAAGTAGATTGCTCAACCTTCCTTCTGAGGAGTGGCTGGTGAATTTGAACCACCAGCCTTCTGGTTAGCAGTCAAATGCCTTAGGCACTATGCCACCAGAGCTCCTTAAGGTAATAATATTTATTTGTTGAAATTATATATATATATATATAGAGAGAGAGAGAGAGAGAGAGAGAGAGAGATACAGACTTTATTATTTAAGGAATTCATTTAAGGATAATAAATGTCTTTTACAAAATCCTTGCTATCAAAAGTTGAGAATAACAAATTTAACTGAAGTAGCTAACCAATTAACTACCCAGGGGAGATAATAACTTGCAAGGGGAGGCCATTGGGACAGCATAAGGGAGTGACTGGGATGAATGTGCTAATATTGTATGCTTACTATTTATAGACACTTTATTCCTGGAATTCAATTTAGAAACACCCTGAGGCAACTAGAATTGGCTCCAAAAAATACCCAAACTCTGTACTATAAATAACCCCTGCATCACATAAGCAGTTTCTTTCCCTCATTCCACCGCACCCCCCCCATTGTGTTTCTCATGTTTAGTCTGTTCATTAGAGGTGAAAACAAAGGTAAGGTTCTAATCTGATTTTTTTTCTTTTTTTTTTGCTGAACCGTAAGCAGTGAATTATTAGCCCTGGCAAACATGTATTAATTCAAGAAAAAGTCTACAAAGGATAACAAAAAAAATGTCCTATTTTAAACACAGCAGTAAGAAGAAAAGAAGGAAGGATATGTAACTATGTTTTGTGCAGTATTACATTTTATTTACTATTGGTTTAGTAACAAAACACATTTTCCTTTGTGTTATCTCTAATGCTCAAAATCAGTACCATGCGTTATTAGAATTAAATCTTGGCAGGGTTCCTAGTTTGTTTGAAACAAATATATTTGGAGAAGCAAAATCTTAGGTCTAGTGTTGATTACAATGTCAACAATTAACAGTGTAGAATAAACCTGTTCTCAAGCCAGCAGTTAATCAATCAATGTTCCAAGAAACATTTACTAAACACACATTGACATATTGCTAAGTGGGTCAGGTCAAAGAGACCTCCTGCTCTCAAGGGGCCAGAAATCTGAGAAAAGCAAATCAGACTCAAAGGTGCAGGCATGCAGTTAGATGCCACCATGACCCAATGGAGAGGTAGCAGGGCACAGTGGTGTCGGCCTGTCCTCTGGAGCCAGGTGCCTATTTCAAACTCCAGCGTAGCCACCTACTGTGAAACCTTAACCACTCTGTCTCCATTTCCTAAAACGAGGCTGTCTGGGAAGCTTGTTATAAGGAGGAATTAGCTAATATAGCTAATGTGCTCAGACAAGTACCTGGCATTTAGTGAGTGCCTAGAAGCATTTGTTAAATAAGTTAAATTTACTATTTACCTGGATCAAGTAAAAATGCTATAATTAGTAGTGGTGCCTAGTTTTTGATAGAGATGGGGAGTATCATCATGTCTTGTTTTAAGGGGCAACTGCAATGCCCACACCTGGCTTTAACTGAGAATGTAAATGTTTTCTACTGGCTGGAGAGAAGACACTGATGACCATGAGAAGGTCGAAGCCCATAATCCCCCACCCCACCCTACATTACTGGGCAACAAACTGCATAGTGTATTAAACACAGTAAGACAGAAAAGAATATATGCTGATGTGGTAAGAGAAGTTAAAGAACTGCAAACTGCTACAGCAAAGGAATAAGAGAATTTATCGACTTTCCCACCAGTCAGGGATGATCTGTCAGAGAGATGACTATTCTTATTTGATTTATTTGGCAAATATTTACAGAGGGCCTATTGTGTATGATCTGTGATACCAGGAATCAGGAGTTGGGGAAAAAAAAAAAAAAAAGACTCTTATCCTCAAAGGAATCTACAGTCTTTTTGAAAAATGTACATATGCCCAGACAAATAGAAGAGAATGAGTACAAGGAAAGAGAATGGAATTACAGGAGAAAAGCTAAGTGGTAGTGTTTGGAGTAGAGCACTCACCCTGGGAACAGAAAAGACTGGATGCTGGCAGCACATGGACCCAGTGGAGAGGCCACAGGGTGTTGTAAGGGAAAACACAGGGGACAATGATGAAGAGATGGACTGCACAGGGCAGAAAATACTTTGAAGCAGGGCTATCTGACACTGACTGAATGAGGAAAGACCTCTGCAATAGGGCTCTTGGGGTGCAAGTTCAAATAAGAAAACTGGCCAAATCAAAAAGAGTCTCATCATGGAGTTGTATGTTCAGACTCAGATGGAAGTTGCCTTGGGGGTATTTGGATGTTGTTGCCCTATACACAATGAAAGAAAACGCCGCCCACTCCTATGTCATCCCCAAGATAGGGTTCAGATTGGACCCTTGTGATCCTTAGGGTTTTCATTGGCTGATTTTCAGAAGCAGGCCACCAGGTTTCTCTTCCAGTCTGTCTTAGTCTGGAAGCTTCACTGAAACCTATTCAGCATCATAGCAACACACAATCTTCCACTGGCAGATGAATGGTGGCTGTTCATGAAGTTCATTGACTGGGGATTGAACTCAGGTCTACCTTATGGAAGGCAAGAAGTCTACCACTGAACCACCAATGTCCTCTGGAGGAGGTGCCTGGAAACAGAGTCTAAATACCCTAATAACTGTCTCTATCCTATCTTTACTGTTTCTCATTCATAGGTTCCATTATTTCAAAACAGCTAATGACATGTTTGGAACTTGCCCTCATGTCATGAGAAACCCCAGCTTCATGTCTTTATGGGCTCAGACTTTAGAGGAGATACTCCCAATGCTCTTTAGGGGCAAAAAGAATTCCGTGGAAAAACTGATTGCTTTGTCGTGGATCAGATGAATAAGCCTGGACCAATTTCTGTGTCCTGGGGAGTAGAGACATCTGAGCAGATG